AAAAAAAAAAGAAAGAAAAACAAACAAACTGACAGTGCTATGAGGATGCGAGCTGACAGTGCTATGAGGATGTTTGCTGACAGTGCTATGAGGATGCATACTGACAGTGCTATGAGGATGCATACTGACAGTGCTATGAGGATGGTTGCTGACAGTGCTTTTAGGATGCTTGCTGATAGTGTAATGACGTAGGCTTACCACACATCCGTATTTAGTACGGACACTTTGTATTGTCGACCCCCTTGTACGTACTAATTTTTTTGTCCGTCTTTGTCCGTACTTTCCACTCTTTGTCCGTACTTTGGCAACGATGACTTCCTTGTCTTATGTCCATTTATCTTATCTGATTTCTTTGTAAAGGCCAGCGCAATGAATAGTTTCAGCGCCCTCGTGCGGAACATTTCTCTTTGACCTAAGAGCGTTATTGCTGCACCGGCATAAAAATGTGTGAGACTATATGTGCAGCTTGTGTCGTCGCCTGTACTGGAAAAGCAACTTCTCGCTTTCGTCTTAGAAACTTTGACAGGAATTCGGGTCCCTTCTTCTTCTTCTTTAATCTAAGGGCCCGCGATCAATTTATTGATCATTCTTGCTCCTATGCATGTAGAGGGGATTGGCAATGTTTCTGTGCCTGGTGTTGACGAGGATATTTCACTAGGGTTGGAAGGCTTGAGGCAATAGACACAAATGTGTCTAGTGTTGTCGCCTGAACTGTTCCTTTCGGAAGCTTGTTCCAGTCCCTGTTTGTCTTTGGCAGGAATGAGCAGTTCATTTACTGGCTTCTTGCTGGTATGAGCCGGAACTGCCTGTCATAGCCTCATCGCTTTGCTGCTCAAACAGATTTTCTGAAAACCAACTGCAGAGCTCTGGTTTTATTTCCTACACAACCAAGCTGCTATGTTTCAGGTAACTGTCAAAAGATTACACGTCAGATTGCAATATTTGGTCACGTGAGTGAGGACTTGAAGAGTCCCCTGCTAGAATTTTAGGAAAGGTTAGAACAGAAAAGTTTTCACTCATTATTCGCATTAAGTTGAGAGATTTAGAAGAAACAACTGAAATTAAATGATAGAGAGATATAATTATTATTATTATTTTTAAAAAATATTTTGTTGCATTCTAGGGTCCTATGGTACATGTGTAAAATATGTCCAGCGTTGGTCTGTTCACTTTG